ATTCAACTTCCTGCTACGAATGTTACTTCTTTTACCTCCTGGCTGATTAATTCTAAGTAGCCAATGCAGGAATTCTCAGTAATATCCCAATGCATGATCATTTAATCTTGTTGTTTTCCTTCATGAAATCAGGTGTAGTCTAGATGTAGTGTGAGGCTCCCCAGCTCCCTAGGTTCTAGAAAATGCATCTGCTGATTGACATCTGAGATGTGCCTACTCGGGCAGCCTCCCGCAAGCACTTTGCATCCAGAGGCACAGGTCCCTAAACCACTCAGATCAGAATCTCTCCTGCTTTCTAAAGGCTTCATCCTCCCTTCATTTCCATTTCTGCCTCTAACCATCTGTCTTTCCAAGTCTTCCAAACATGGCTTCAGAAAGAAAAATTAGTTATTCAGTATCTGGCCCAAACTTGTTTCCCCCCAAGTAGACTGTAAGCTTCCTCTTGCTGTCAGGACAGGGAGTTTTTCTATTCAGACCCCAGCACTTACAGCAGTCCCTGGCATATAGTAATCACTTTAGGCTTGTTCAGAGTAGAATGAATAAATGAACATCTATTTCTCCTAATGGACACTATATGAGTGAATACAATGGACTCTTCTATAATGGTTTCATTTTCTAACTCTTAATATTATTGAGACCAACTTCTAAATTGTTCCCAGAATAGCAAAAGCCCACTTCTGAAAAAATACTCAAGGTTCTGAATCATAAAATATTTACACATCCGAGTTATACATTCTAAAGGACACAGTCCTACATGATTATTTCTCGTCTACATTTTCATCTACTTTTGTATATGAGTAATTCTTGTTTTATTTGCTAGCTCCCATCACCTCCAGCTTTCAGTAGTTTAACTGCAAGAAGGAATATGTCCTTGTATCATTTTGTTCGGATTTTATCACTGGCTTAACTATAGAATTCCTGCTGACTGAAGGGTGCAGATCCCTGGGTAGATAGATAGTAGCTGTGTTGGATGACAGAAATCAGGTGCCCAAATTCTGGGAAAAATAGGACTCTAAGCAGAGCTAAGGTTGAAGACAAAAATCCAAATAATAGTAAAAATTCCAGGACAAGGTACACAATGTGGAAGATGATAGTACAGGTGAAAAAACTTTGAGTTCGTTCTATCACTGCTGCCTTAGGATCTTTTAGAAAAAAATTCTTCAACCTAAGACTCTTCATCTGTGCCAGGAAGTATTCTAAGAACTGGAGGCACAATACATTCTGGAAGAGGGTATAACAAATTAGCAAGTGATGTATGCTTTGACAGAAGAGTGCTCAATAAAGCACTTTTTGCTTCCTAGTGTTCCTGTAGCAAAAAGGTGGAAACAACCCAAAATGTTCATCAACTGATAAACAAAAATGTAGTATAACCATACAATGGAATATTATTCAGGTATAAAAAGAAACAAAATACTGACACATGCTATAACTTGGATGAACCTCGAGGACATTATGTTTAGTAAAATCAGACGGACACAAAAGGGCACATGTATGTTTCCACCTATAGGAAATACCCAGAATAAGCAAATCCATAAGGACATAAAGCAGATTAATGGCTGCCAGGAGCTGGGGAGCGATTGTTCACTGGGTATGGTATTTCTTTTTGGGATGAAAATGTTCTGAAATGGTGATCTTACAAACATTGTGAATGCATTAAATGTCCTTAACGGTTAATGTTATCATTAATGGTATTATACCTGGCATAATATAAACCTTCAATGTTATATATTACTTTATAGCAAAACAAACAAAAATCACTCAAATAGGAAATGACCTAGGTTAACACATTATTAAATATATTTTTAATTACTGTAATGCCATGCAGCCTTTCAAGAAAATGAACATCTGTAAGTACACAAGGAAACATGTCTAAGATGTAGTTAGTTAAAAAACAAAAGCTAGAGAAGCATGTATTTGGTATGGTTTGTTAAAGTACACATGCCCAGGCTCATACGTTTTTATATATGTGTAGTAAACAATGGGATGGTGATGAAAAGTGAAAATAGTGGTTACGTCTGGGGTGAACACACTGGGGAGGGCAGAGAATCTTTTTTTTGGTATACATTTTGAAGTTTTTAGGTGAGCTTGGAGTTAAGAGTGTGACAAAGCAGTCAAAAAAGTCCTAATATGGCATAAACAAGAAAGACAGAATACCTAGGGAGGTAACTGCCAATATTGAGAAAGAAAATTAATCGGCTTCATACTTCTTATGCGGAAAAAAACTTGACCCGTCACTCTCCCAGCGTGAGCACCCTTCAAGCACCTGACAGCGGTCTCTGCAGCCCATCAGAGATGAGCTCTGTGGGCACTCGCTCAGTTGTTCCTGAAGTCCCCAAAAAGGGCAAGGCAGAGTCTTTTAAGCTCTTGTTCAAACTTTCCCCTTAACTTGTTAAAACAGGTCTTTAAAAGTGAAATTAATACAGGTGCAAAGGACCACAGTAAGAAAATCCATTCACAAGTCTGAACTCTTAAAAAAAAATCATTTTATTGATCCTTTACCATACAAAATTTATTCAAATTACACCCATTTGAAGTGGTAAGATCACAGCTAGAGAACAGGTTACCCTGTAACAAATCTATTTACAAAATCCACCATAAAAGCTTTTTTTTTTTTTTACATTATATTACACATTTCCTTTTCAAACTAGCATACAACACAAAGCTAAACTGATTAGTAGTTTGCCTTCTCCCAATTTTGGGAGAAATACTTCCTTTTGACAAAATCATGTACCCCAGAGGAAAAGAAATTCCCACAATCTGACAATTGCCACCTGACTCACTCTACAAGGCATCTTCCTTCAAACCCCTCCTCTCATACACACGAGTTGTCATGCACACGCTGAGTTCTTGCTTCTTTTTCCTGAAAGCTAAAGCTTTAAATACTGCAATTTTATTTACAGATCTACACTTAAAACAAAAATGAAACAAGAACCACAACAAAAAACAAAATATAACACTCTTAAAAAATTACAAACCAGCTAGAAAATATTCTGGCAGTGTTTACAAATTAATTGCTATCTCTGTACAAAATTGCTAGGTAATGAAAATGTGAGTAGACTACGTACCAACTTAAATAAAACAATTGCTATGCACAAGTCTGTACATATAAACACACACCTTAACACTGTTTGACAGCTCATGTGTTGCCCTTTATACAGTTTATTTTCTAAGGCTCACGCAGTCATAATTCGCACACTTGTAACTTTTAGCCATTTCATGTGTGAGCTTTAATAGCAGCAACTCAATGGTACCAGGAAACCGGCATACTCTGACTTAAAGTAACACAAATACTGGACAACTAACCCACTTTGCGTGCCAGATACTATGTCAAAAAGAAAATGACTAACGCAAACAGAACACAGTATGGACATTTAATTAATGTACACCAGTTAAGCCCATTAACTGGAGAAATCTTATGCATGAAGGAACTTTTAAGAGTTATTAGTATTCCTTCCATTAAAAAAAAAATAAATACGGCATTACATTACGAAAGGTTTAACGAGAAATTCAACAAAACACATAATAACCTAGCCAGGTGAGCTCAGTCTTTAGACTTTGGAAAAAAATCAGCTCTGTGCAGCTGGCAAAGAGAATTACACAAAGCTGGAAGCAGAGGCAGCTAACCAGATGAGATAAATATGGGAAATGGGGAAAAGCTTGGCATAAATGGTTTCCCATACAGGAAAAAACCCCACAGTGCATTTCCAGTAGGCACTTGACACGAAGCTCTCCCTCCCTCCCTCCCTCCCCCACCCCAATGCTTCATCTCGGACCACATGATATTTGTACCAAGTCCAGTGTGTGTGAGGGGAGGAGGCTGGGGATGGAGGCAGAAGAAAAAAGGAGGGTAATCTGCACCTTTGTTTTTTCTCTCCAAACACACACCCACGCATACCTACACAAATCATTTAAAGTGCTGGTGTCATGGTTTTGACCCCACCACCACTTTGCATATTGTGGAAATCTACCTAGAGTTTGTGGTTTTTTGTTTTGTATTTTTCCTAAGGGATATTTTCATTTCAATTACACACGTGTATCGAGTGCCTCCTATGCGCCTACCACTGTGCAAGGCACATAGCATTTCAATTTCTGTTGATTTTGAGGGTTTTGTTTTTTTTTTTTAAATAAGATTCCCTCATTCCCGCGGTCTTTAGCATCCAAGGAATGGATCTGAGGTACTACTTCACATTCCTTGTGGGCAATGGCCATCTTCCCTGACCAACGGGAGAGCCTATCTTGGACATAACTGGTAGGATTTGCAGCTCACACGAAGCCTCCAACTCGGGACACCATTCCTGAAGAGTAAAGGGGGGAAACACCCTGGCATTCTAGCTCTCCATTTTCCATGTCCCCACTTCCCTTGGTCCAACTTATTCCTTCACAGAGGAAGGGGGAGGGGTTCGGGCCAAGGGTATGGCAGCTGCCCACAAAGTGGGAGCTCCCTGTTCTCACCAGCTCGAGCACATGCCACTGACAGGATGTCACTCACACAAGGGGATGTCTTTCTCCCTAGAGGCCTCTCCATCTGACCCCATCCTGAGAAGTGGTCTCCCTGAGTGCAGTGTAAGAGAGCCCTTTCCCGGGTCACGGGGCCCGGGGAAGCCCAAGGACAGAGGGATCCACACCTGCTGCTCCTCGGGACTGCTATGTCACCTGACCTGGTTCTCCTTTCAAATGGGCCACCGATGCCGGCGAGCTCCAGGACCAACTCGCTTTACTCCAAGCTCCCCGTCCAGGGAAGGAAGCCAGATGGGGCAATGCTTCTTGCAGAGGCTGTTAAACCTTAGATCACATGTTTAGATGCTCTAATCAGAGAGGTTCTCTACCTCTGCTTAAATAATTTGAATTAGTAAAAACCGCTTCAAAGTAAACAATTAAGTCGAAATGGTGATGGGTGCCACAGGAATGCTTAAATGGCAGCTAAAAAAATAAAAAAATCTAAAATGATCCACAAAGAACTCCTAAGTAGGCTTTGCTACAAATCAACTTGAAACTCACAAACACATTGGGGGCAGGGGAGTGGGAGTGGTTAATGGAGACAGGAAAATCCACAACAGCTTAGAGTGGCAGAACTTGACTATTCTTCTGTATCTGCAACAAGTATTTGAAAACAGGTTCTTCATCCGAAAGGCTCTGGAGGTTCTCTTGACCTTCTAGTGGGACACACAGTCCATAGCTTACACTGAATTATGACAGTAATTTAAATATTCCTAAGAAGAACTGAAGAAATTCATTTCATACTTCTGCATGACTTCAAGTTTAGAGTTCCTGCAGTTCCATTCCATATTAGCAGACCCCAAAGACATGCATTCTGCAGAGAAGGCACGGCTTGAAATGCTATTAAGGAAGTTTGCTGTATTCCAGTGGGCCAGGTGGCCAGGCCCCATTCTACAGCCCATCCGTCAGGCACAGCAAGCCAATCGGGAGGGAGGAAGGGTGGGAGGGAGGAAAAGTACGGGTGAGAGACACCTGATTGCACATTTTCTCACTTGCTGACTCAGCCAGGAGATTTTGGAGCCTGGGGAAAAGCAGGGTTTTCCCAGGGGAGCCTGCAACTGTGCGTTTAGACAATTTATTTAAAAAAAAAAAAAATCATTAAAATGTCAGCTTTGTTCTGAAGTTTGTAGTTTACTTCATGATACTATCTTGGAGGAAGAAGGTAGGAAGGGACAACACTGCATGACAGATGTTCTGGTTCCACAATAAAAAAATATTGGTTTATAAGGAGAGCTCACAAAGCATAATCAACTACACATAAAGTCTTCCACCAGCGGGAGCTTTTCCAAATCGTAAGCATCAAAGAGATCGCTGATGCCTTCTTCCTCCCCGAGACTTAGGAGATAGTCTTCTTGGAGCAGGGGAGGCAGTAAGTTCACAAATGGTCCATCTAGGTTGGTAGGAATTTGGTCCTCAGTCTGCTGTAAAAGGTTGGCTGGGGAGGCCAAAGGAGAAAGGTTTGCCATAGAAATTGAGCAATCGCTATGTCCTGAGTTGGTTGAAGCCAAGTCTGAATGGAAAAAATGAGTAAAAACACAAAAATAAGTTAGAAGAAAATCAAAATGATTTTTTTTTGTTAGAATATACAGGTTGCTGCTATAAAAGTGTTCACCCGCTGCTAACAACAACAACTAGACAACATTATGATGCGGTTCACCTTGGGAAGCCTTTCTTTGTTCTAGCACACTCACTCATCTTTTAAAGTACCTACTGTTAGCAAACAAGAATGCAAAAAAATGCAAAGATTAGAGGCTAACAGGTCAAAATACTTCTGATATTAGTCATTACTTAAGGAAAAACAGAACAAAATATACATATTATGACAAAAGCACATTTATAGTTGTGAATACACAAAACACAGAATTTATCCTTGTATTATTATCAATTACTGTTATTATTTTCCATACAAATAACCATAAACCTACTTTTGACCCTTGTAAATACTGTAAAGTTCGCTCCCTAGTAGAAACTCACTGAGTTTAACTTAATCTTTTTTGAACAAAAGTTTATTAAAGATACCTCTAAAAATATAGACAGTAAGACATATTCACTTTGAATATTTATGGGGAAAGAAGTCTTTCGTTTTACAATTTGTGTGCTACACAGTAGTCCCATCTCATCTGAGGTTTTGCTTTCCACGGTTTCAGAATTACCCATAGTCAACTGCAGTCCAAAAATATTAAATGAAGATTCCAGAAATAAACAATTCCTAAGTTCCTCAGTTTTAAATTGCTACCATTCTGAATAGGGTAATGAAATCTCATGCTGTCCTGCTCCATCCTGCCCAGGATGTGAATCATCCTTTTGTGCAGCACCCCTGCTTGTTAGTTACTTAGGACTCATCTCAGTTATCGGGTGGACTGCTGTGGTACTGCAGTGCTGTGTTCAAGTAACCCTTACACTGCCTAACGCTACCTCACGCCTGTCATTCATCTCCCTTTATCTTCTCACATAGGCGCTGTATCATCTCACATCATTACAAGAAGGGTGAGTTCAGTACAAGGTATTTTGAGAGAGCCCAAATTCACATAACTTTTATTACAGTATATTGCTGTAATTGTTCTATTTTACTATTAGTTATTGTGGTTAATCTCTTCCTGTGCCTAACTGATAAATTAAATTTTATCACAGGTATGTATGTCTAGGAAAAAACAGTATGTACAGTTGGCCCTTGAACAACATGGCCAGATTTCCCCCCCCTAATAAATACTTGTACTGTCTTCAATCAGCAGCTGGGAGTCCACAGAGGTCCTGGAACCAATTCCCCGTGGTTAATGAGGGACAACTTAAGTTTTAGGGGAGTCAAAAGTTTTATGTGGACTTAACTGTGTGGGAGGCTCAGTGCCCCTAACTCTGTTGTTGTTCGACAGTCAACTACATAGGGTTCAGTAGTAAACCTGGTTTCAGGCATCTACTACATTTTTTTTGCTCAGTATTAAATCAGACCTATTCATTTAAATCACTGCTATTCTTGTTGCTATATTGGGATACAGGGGAAAAAAACTAAATACACACCCCCAATCAGAAACTGGAAAAAAAAAAAAGGCCACAAATACCTTTCTTTGTTCTAGGGACAGTGGAGGAAAAAGTAGATTTATTTTGCTGGGGGTTTCCTCCAATATCCTCTTCCCATCACACTGAAGGGAAGGAGGGGAAATCAAGACAAAACGTCTTTGGTAGAAGGCTTTTCTTTATGAACTTTTTTCATTTCTCTAACGATCTCTGTAGCATCACGCAAAGGTGTGTGGCTAAGTGTAGCTGATGATTCACCCAGCTTCACTCCCACTTCAACTGGCTTTCCAAACAGGGTAAAGAAATGGTTTCTGCCAATAGCAAAAGCCTGAGGAACTCCATTAGTGGGTGGAGGAGTCATTAGCCCAAGACCATATTTTATCCTGTAAACTACTCAGAATGCCTTTTTAAAAATGTTACCTTAATAACAATAACAACAGATTTTTTTGTCCTGCCTAGACTTGTGGTTCTGATACAGGATCCTTCTAGTCACCTTCATGTCAAACATAGTTTCCAAATGACAAAAACAGAATTTTTACCTTTGGAAGTGGGCTTAGGGATATTCCCATTGTGGTCTTGGTTGTTTGTTTTCACTGGACTATGTGTTTCAGTCTCTTCTGGACATAAGTAAACCTCAATGGGTCCTTGGGTACTTGCCAAGTGTATTTGTAGGCTCTACAAACAGAAAAGAGTTCAAAATGAAAACTCTTTTTGAAATGAAAGCTATTGTCATTTTCATCTAAATACGTAAAGCAAGGGCAATTTTCATAGTTCACTTTGCTTTTTCATAGGTGGTCCACTTTCATCAGTGATTGTCATTCTCTAGAGAACGGGCCAGCAAACCATAACCCAAGGCCCGAATCCAGTCCACCAACTGGTTTTGCATTGGGCTGGCCAAAAAGCTTGTTTGTTTTTTTTCCATAAGATGGCTCTAGTAGCATTCAGTTGTCTCTACCTTTATTCGAAACAATTTTGTTAGACTGAATTGTGACAGCTATCATATCAGCATGCTTTAAAAAAAAAAAAAATCAAAATTGGTGAATTTTTGTGTAGCCATTTTAATATTGAAAATGGAAGAAAATAAGCAACATTTTTTGCACATAATGCTTTATTATTTCAAGAAAGGTAAAAACCCCACTGAAACACAAAAAAGGATTTGTGTAGTGTATGGACAAGGTGTTGTAACTGATGGAACATGTCAAAAGTAGTATGTAAGGTTTCATATTGGAGATTTTTCGCTGGACAATGCTCCACCATTGGGTAGACCAGTTGAAGTTGAGAGCAATGAAATTCAGACATTAACTGAGAACAATCAATGTTATCCCATGTAGGGGATGGCCAACATACTCAAAATATCCCAATCAATAAAGTTATTGGTGAAAATGAAAAAATGTGTCTTTTATTTTAGAGAAAAAACCACATGGACTTTTTGGCCAACCCAATAAATAAAGTTTTATTGGCACAAAGTCATGCTTATTCCCATTATTTATGCACTGCCTGTGGCTGTTTTATTTTTTTCATGCCATAATGGCAGAGTTGTACAGTTGAACAGTCTCAACAGAGACCATATGGCTCACAAAGCCAAAAATATTTACTGTGTAGCCCTTAAAAAAAAAGTTTGCTGACCCGTGCCCTAAAGGAAGTGAATTATGCTCTCTAAATATATTCTTTTCTTTCGCTAACTATTAGAAGGTCCTTTTAGTGTTCAAAATACAATATTTCCATGTTATTACTCCTTTATGGTAGGACATTTTTATGTTGAACTTTAATAACCACTGGAACTGAGTCTAGTAAGAGAATGCAGCACACTAATATTTAAAATTCTGCCTCATCTAGGTCACAGAGCTATTATTATCACTTAAGGTGAACTCTACCTAGATAGGAGCTTGCAAATTTCATTCTTTTTATTTTCTCTGCATATTCTTTTTACTACATTTCTTTGCCTTAGAATTATAGCCTAGGTCTATTATTATAAAGCTGTATCTGAAACCAATCACAAAAATATGCCCTTACTTTCTTACAATATTCTAGTCTATCAAATAACCCAAAGTCCCATTTCATTTCTTAAAAGTAAACATAATATAAATAATGAACTCTTAAGTGTGATAAGTTAGGGAGATACTTTAAAACATTTATATCTCTATTTGGGGTGGGAACCATACCCAGAGTAATCAACATAAAATTCCCTGGAAGTTCAAATTGATCAGAAGCAACAAATTATGAAAAAAAGGAAGTATAGGACGGCTGGAGTTGTATGCCACTTTTGAGCTGAGTGCCCTGTTAATATTAAAATTAGACTTTTTGGACACTCAATACATCATACTGAACTGTTGAAATGCTTCTAAAGTTAGGATTAAGTAAAAGAGATGGGGAAAGAACCTTCACATTTTTCAGAGGCTATGAACTTGAACCAAAAATCAATGATTCTTTAAGCATTCCAAAAAGATCTCTGCAGATGAACAAAGACGTTGTCTCCTTACCTCTATTGGGTCAGGCACTTCAAGTCTTGTTTCTGGAGGGGCTTTCACAACTATAACAGTTTGGTCTTTAAGGCCACTAATTTTTCGAATATCTTGATATGTAAGATAAGCTAACGTGATGAGTGTTAAGGAAATCTTCCAACTACTTCTCTCAGCTGTAACCATTATGAGGATAACCAAATGAATACATGGAAAACTTCTGAAGTATTTTAGGATTTCTAAGAATATATCTGTATTGCTTTCTAGATCTTTAAATATATGGGATTTCCCATGAATCTTGCTTTCTGGGTGATTGTAAACAGCAAGAGAAATGTACAGTTTGGTCCTGCTCATTTTAAAAATGTCCATGGCTATTTAAAATATTAAAATAAACACAGAAACAAAAGAGTTAGAATAAATTATCAAAAGAAAACCGAAACCAGTTTGGTCAGGGATTTTCAAACCAGGTCCCTCTGGAGCGCAAGTTGTCCATGAGCTCCAGTGAACTGTGCTGGCACTCAAATTGAATGATGGCCCATCCCAATTTATAGGAACCCCCCCCCCCACAAAAAAACCAAACACCTCTATTAAATGTAATGTTTTGGAAATTCCAGTAACTTCTATCTTCTACTTGATTATTAGCAAGTGCCAGCAGCCACCCAAATGAATGAACGAATTAGCAGCAAATAGCTATATTAGTGGAAGAACTCAATATTGCTCAGGCAGGCAACATGTTTTCTTAAGTGTGCCTAGGCTGGTTGTGATTATATATTGTCTACTGATAAGAGTGTCAGTCTTTCTCTGTTAGAGAAATTATCCTTTGTATGATATTATTAACTCTATCACTATTTCAGTGTTCACAAGGGGGGAAGCAACTTCCAGATGGTCTGCAACCTGAATGAATTTGAGAAACACCAATTTAGGAAAAGAGAGTAGTATTATATTTCAGTACTCTGGGTAGTTACTTCTGAGCACTGAGCAGTTTTTTTAAGTGCCCTGGCAGCCAAACCTAAGGGGATATCATGAGAGAATATGGTATTTATTACCTGACAAAAGTACTTATACAAGCTTGCCTAGAGAGAGAGATAAGCTTTTACTTGGCACTAAGAGAGAACAGGTCGCATGGCTCTCTTGTTTAAGGGACATGCAGTAACACAATGTACAATGTCTTTAGCCAGCATTTTTCTTATATTAACCCACAAAAAAATGCCTGTGATAAAACAGCAAATCGCAACTCAATGAAGGCACTTCTATAGGTAATATAATGTAGCTAATGGGGTCTGGAGAAAATAATTTCCCTTCAAATAGTAGCTTTTTATTAGAAATTGAAGGAAGTTAAGAAGCCACCCATCAGAAAAACAAACATATCCACCCCAAATCTGCGCATACATTTAAGGGCATTTATCAAGGCTATCTTCTTTAAGTCTCAATAGTGGAGACAATAGCCAGTTCAGTCTTGAGCTTGACTGGACAGCTGAAGCAGGATTCCTGGTTTTATGCCATAATTTATCACATTAAGAAAGCGAACTGGTACCCTTACAAAAGACCTAACGGTTCTGAATTTGTACTGAGAACCCTGGGGAAACCGATCAGGTACTAACACCACAGCCCACTGTCAAAAGCTACATGACAAGAGCTCATTAAAATTAAAAACTCTTCTACAATTACTCAACATGCTACAGGAAAGAAAATTTCAACACATTTGTGAACAAGCTGTACCAAATTCGGAACTGAATGGGAAATTGAAGTAAATTGTGCAAATATATTCTCTAATCTTAGAAGTGCTTCCATTGTGGTTCCCTCCTGAATTTGCTTCTTGGGTTAGCAGTCCCCTGCAAGGAAGCTTTCATTTTCTGCAACAAAGGCCCCAGAGAAAGCTAATGTAGGTGACAATGTCATAAACCACGAGCTGCCAATCACATGTAACCGCACATCTTCTCGCTGGGGCTCCCACCTAGACAATGACTCCGACAGCCCAAATGGAGCTGTTCCCGTTTCCCCCGCCGTACACCCAGTCTGGCCACCGCTTTGGGAGTTCATATTAGCACACCTCTTTCTCCATTTCACTAATCACCAGCTGACAAGGTTAAACTTTTGGTCAACAGGAAACGAATGGTTGCAGTTTCAAAAAATGGCCTGAGTTGGAAAATAAATGTCCCTATACCCTCCAAGGGAAAGCCTATTAGAGAGGAGACACTAAAAGAAACTGGGAAGGACACATTTTATTTTCTGTCTCACAAAGTTAAATGTGGAATAATTAAGTTTGGAACTAAAGTTAGAGATGGCGTAACTTAAAATATTGCTTCGGTCTCCTAATAACTCAGAATATTGCAAAATCTTCTTGCCAAAACAATGAAGTATTGTTGCTAATTTTTCTGTCTGACGTGACACGATGAACAATAAGCTGTCCTGAGATGGGCAACAGATTGTCAGTCTATTGGGAACAAGAACTGGCTTTCTGTGTTTTTATTTCCAAGAACTAGTGTTTGCAGATGACTGGATACGTTGAGATTTCTCAGGCCTTGCAGTGCTTCTGAAATCAGTTTTTAGTGTTGTGAATCAGCGTAATGCTTTCTAAAAGTTATAGGGTAATTTTTTATACTCTCTGGATTTTCTCAACTGTAGCTCAATCAGACAGATTCAACAAATTCCAATTGCTCCAATATCTGATGAAAAGAAAATAGAATGTGAGAACCCCAACAGTGACAGCTAACGCCCACCCGAAATCTGGAAAGCCAAAGACGAATCTGCAGAATGTTGTCATTAATATTAATACTGATACCACACATATCTTATAATAGTGTTGCCGAACGCCATGAGTGTATCCATATGTGCCAACCACACATGAATAAAATGACTTACAAAACAGGTCCCTCCTTGCTATAAAATAGATATAATAGGTGATTATCTTTCCATAAACACTGACTTTTAATAAGTGGATTCAGACATATGCGCACGCATGTGCGCGCACACACAACACAAACACGTGAACATGAAACCAGAGTAAAATTCTACCAGGTGCATAAAAGACTGTCAATTCCGGAAATAATCTAGAAGACACTAACCCCCAATGACCAGGTGGCACAAAGGATATCTTTGATTCTCTGAATCCTCGGTTAACAGTTTGAGGTCCAGGGTGCAGCTTTGGATCAGTTCATCTAATTTCTTCTCTTCCTGACTGAGCTCGGTCACTTCCTTTGACAGGCCTTGACACTGGGCCAGCATGCCCCCATCCTCAGACAGACTGCAGCCCCTAGAAACCCAAACACAGACTCTTCATGGCTACTTGCGAGGCCAAAGGGAGGAGGACAATGAACAATCAAGGGAGGGCAGGGGGAAATGATCCTTTGGGGAAATGCCCCCTCTTGATACAGGAGGTCACACTGTTTGTTTGACAAGTGTTAAAATTAGAACATTTATACATTTTTTTTTTAATGTACACAGTCCTTTACTTTTCACACCATAGAAATTAAGTGAAAAAATACTGCTATTTTCAGGTTTCTTTCCTACAGAGGAGACCTGTTTATGTGGGAAGCTCAAATTCAAAGGGCAAAGAGAGGCAGCTCCTTCCTGCCACGTGCCCCCCAGGGGGAAAAAGCAGAGAGGAAAACAGAGAAAAATAGGAAAATTTGAAAGAAAGATGGAATGATTCAAAATTCAACAAAACATCAACCAAGAAGCACAAAAGGCCTAAGTAATTTCTGAGGGTCTTATACCAACAACTACAGAGGAAAGGAGATTAATAAACAGATATATGTGCTGTACACAAGAACAAAGACCAACATCCAACAGGTTTCTCCTAGACCATAGGGCAAACCATCTTATCATGTTTGAAGTAGCATTGTTTCAAACCTCATAACAGATTTATTCCTTCCAATATGCTGTAACAGTTCCTTTTAAAACACTGGCTGTTCAGGTGCTTGTTCATAATTCACAAATTTAATCACACATGTGGATGTATAGGTGATAAGCATTATCATCTCTGCTTTCTAGAGGGAATGGAGGCATTTAACTCTTGCCTTAATTCGTTCAGAAAGCGAATTAATCTGCTATTAGAACCACGGATAAAGATATTCAGTGACTGCATACATACACAGATGTGTTCATATATAACCATAGTTCATTTCCGAATTCCTGTTGGAGTTAAGACATGTGCAAGCATCTGTGAGATCACACACATGGACCTCACAGTAACAAATGAACAGCATTTGATTTCACATCTGCAGGACCTAATTAATCCCAGGGTCCCCTCATTTGAAGCTAATGGAATACAAACCCTTTCATCTCTCGCAGTGTCTAAAGAGATCTCTTCCTAAAGAGACTTTGAGCTTGTGGCTAAGGAGTTGAGGAAGGAAGGGAGAAGGAGACAGAAGAAAAGAGTAGGAGAGCAAAGAAATGAAGCGTAGGCACGGACATAAAAGTCGGGACTGGGTGAAAGCGCCATGTTTGAACGGACCCCCTCAGATCAGGGAACGGGGTTGGGGTGCAACTCATACTCACATCCATTGCACGTTGTTTTTAGACTTCTTCTTAATGAGATGGATGCCTTCCAGCACATTGGTGATATCATAAATCCTTCTCTTTTGCACTTTCAGCACCTCTGCTGCCTTGTTCAAATCCAAGACCCCATCAGGTGACTGGCTCAGCAGCTGAATGAACTTCTTGGTGAGTAGACCAAGGGATGTATCATACCGTGTTTTTTCTGAGGGAGATTTTGGAGCTTAAAGAAAAACAAAAACCGAGCGGTGGGGAATAGGGGGAAAGGTAAAGAAATGAAGGGTTTCTTTGCAGTTGAGCAAGCCCTCTCTTTCCCACTGCAGCCTGAGTATTAGTATCGGAAGCAAAGCTGTTGTTGCTGTTGTTTTTGTGAAGTTACAGAGAAAGCTGTGAAATTGCTTTATTAGAAAAGGAAGAGACAGTACAAATTCCTGTTTGATTTTACTGTGAATTTCGCAGTAGTTTCTAATTTGGCTTACCCTATTCCCTGGGGCTAGTGAAGTATCTCACACATAGCAGGTGCTCAAAAATGTCTGTTGAATGAATGAGAAAGTGCTGTAGCCCCATGGCATCTGCACATGTGGAGCCTAACCTGATGGGGCCAGGTGACAAATCTCTCCAGCATTTTGTGACAGGGCACAGACAGACCCATTCAACTGGCTGGTCAAGCTCCAGGGTCTGCGTGTGTTCATAACTTGCTCACCGATATTTCAAACAATGCTTCATTTGGATGAAGACTATCTGGAATCTGGAAGAGTCTTTTAGTCAAATCTCCCCATCCCTCCTGAATGAAATTTCTTACTTAGTATTGTATCTATTCTCTGATAGGTCACAGGTCAAAGGTTTAATTTAGCAGTACACATTATCTGTGGATTGCCTAATTCATAAACTACAGGGAAGGAGAGAGAGAGTGAGAGAACAAAGTCTCATTTAGCCTTTACGTTAAATGCCTGAGATGTAAAGGACTATTAGCTATCTCCAGCCTACTTTTCTCTCTCCCAGAAGAAATGACGATCGTATCAATGGAAAGGGAAACTAGTGCAATTCACTGGTCTCAGTCAATTCTTAGGCTGCCTCACGCAGAGCTAGAGATGTAGGCCGACACAGACATTGGTGACTGGCACAGTTTGTGACCCCCGGTTAACCTCAGTCTCTGAAGTAATGTGCCTTAAAGTTAAAATTAAATTTCATTATAGGATATAACAGAGAGCTTGTATTCTGAGTTGAAAAAAATGAAACTGCACACATTTTAAGAGGCCTCCCCTTAAGTCAGTATTTAGGTGATGGAGTAATTCTGTAAACCTTTTTCTGGGTGTCTGCAGACACTGTATTTATTTTTTGGATAGGCACAGAAAGAAATGAAAAAGAACAAAACATGCCAAAATTATTCACACCTTGGCATCCTTCCAGCCACAAGCTTTGAAAGTTGGGAACCCACACCACAGAGAATCAGAGATGAAAGAATCCTTACTTTTGGGACTGTCTGGACTTCGCAGTGCAGCTCTCCCTTTGCCCTTAGGGGTTTTTAAACCATCGGAGAGGTACTGATGACCGCTTTCTCCTAGCTCCAGCCTTCGCTTGGCCTGGAATGAGAAAGGACAATCATTTGTCCTGGTCATGTGGACAATCACAAGTGAGGCTGTTTGGAATCTGGCCCCTGCCCAGGGCCCAGTGCTGCAGGCTCCTGTCTGTGCTCGCACCTCTGCTCCACTCACGCAGGGCCTCGCTGGTCCCCACAGCCAGGGTGCTGAGCTGTCATGCCAGCTGTCTTCGTCCGTAGTGATCATTTGTGTACACAGACAAATCCAGCGATCCTTTAGCATTAGGTCCAGGAGCCACTTTGCTCACTTATTCGTTGATTCAACTGCATGTGCCAGGCACAGAGCTAGATACTGAGAATACAGTAGGCACCATGGAATTTAAATGAACTTTTCCCCAGCGAAACTTTGCTGCCTCTCTCCATCTCTGACCTGGGTTGGACCCCCTTCCTTGAGCTTCCCCAAACACTGTGTTTATTTGTATCATAACACTTATTGGATATGAGTTATTTTACTAATCTGGTTCTCATTTCCTTCCAAGCAGAGACTGTTTCCCATTTATCTTTGTAACCGAGTGCTTGGCACAGAGCCTGGGTTTCTGTAGGTATTCAATCTCTTTTCCTCTCTTTAAGTGATTGAATGGTAACACAACTAGTCAGACTACAGATGGTCATTCGTCAGAATAACAAATACTGCAAACACCCAATCTTTGGCTTCAACTACTAATACTATTTCTGCCATTTTGTCATCAAGCCTGGCAAATGAGATGTCCTCATCCAAGCTTTGAATTTATTTTCGTTTCACTTTAAAAATATCCACTTACTGTCTTCTATGTACTGGGCACTGGGCATAGGGAACAGAAGGAAGATAGACGAGCCCTAAACTACCTAGGGCATAGAGTCCATGTGAGAAAACAGATCATTAAAGAAGTAATTGTATGGGTTTGATGGGTGTTCAGACAGAGGTGGCACCACCTAGACACCCCACATGGCAGTGGGTATCTCAGCTCATTTTAAGGCAGGTTCTTCTAATGAGGAGATTCACAATTTCAACATAACATCCCATGAAAAGGAATGAAAGTAGTAACTTATCACCTGATGATAAATACTCAGTTTCTCTACAGAAAGTTATCAGTAGTATGTGTTGTTCACTACAGTAAGCAACTAGCCACATGTGACTCATGCAAACTGACTTGGGCTATAAAATGGAAATACATACTGGATTCTGAAGACAATTAAAAAAAAAGAGTAAAATATTTAAAAAATTTTAATAGAGGACATGTTAAAATGTTACATTTTTTGGCTTTATAAAATAAGATAGTATTAAAGTTATTACTTCACCTCTTTCCCTCTTTTTCTTTTCATTCTTTCTTTTTTTTTTACTATGTGGCTGACATTAACGGCACAGATTATCTTCCTATTGGCTAAACATTACTCTAAGGCCTAGGAATGACACTTTGCCAACTTGTTTTCTCAACTTCATCTCTCCCTCCCAAATATTGTGTCCATTTCTTTTGTGTAGGCCTGCTGCGTTGGCTGGCGCAGCAAAATGCCCTCTTCATCAGGCAAATGCTCCCTGACTGTTCCTGGGGAGTAACCTCCCCACCCCCTCACAGTCTAAGTTGCACACAGGTGGCCCCGGCGGGCGAGGCATTGTGGTCCGTTCTCCTGCGTCTCTTCCCTTCACCCCACAGTGACTGGTCAGGGTGGCACACAACCCAAGCTGGGTGAACGAAAGCCAAGTCTAGACATTTTTCTGGAACTACTGGCAAGAAGAGGGTGCCCCTTCCCAGAAAAGCTGGTATGTGGAAGCTGGAAGCTACTTGAGAATGGAGCCTCTCCAGGGGAAAGCAGAGTGGAGAGAGAGAGAGAAAAGGGTCTGAGGCCATCACTCAGAGCTCTGGGTCAGGTCACACAAGACCCTGGGGGCAACAACTGGCCTTCTCCAGACTTTTCAGTTACATTAGTCAATAAAATCTCCTTTTTGCTTAAAGAACTTTGAGTTGAGAACCTGAAAGCGTGACGCTGCAACTGGCAGTGCGTAAGGGTTAGGGGAGCAGGGTGCAATGGTGGGGCCGGCAACTCTGGAAGAGCGGCAGAGTGTGTGGGTCACTTCTTGTGGCCTTCAGGAAATGATCACTGATAGAGACAAGCCTCATCTGAGGCTGGCATACCTAAAAACAGAGAAGAAAAGAGCTTTGCCATGGAGGCCTTTTCTGTCTGTATAAAGTAATCCAAGAAGACACACGGCTGTATTCTCTGTCCATGCTAAAGTTCACAGAAGGAAGACAAACAGGAAAAGAGTCTGGGACCCCCAACTCTTGTGGTCCTAAGGCTGTACTCTCCTTGAACCCTCACAAGAGACAACCAACCACTGGCCAGCAGCCTGGGGGATATTAGTTTTGCCTCCCCATCCAAGGCCATTGTTTTAAACTGCTTTGAGAAAGGCCTACGGAAGCACTAAACCGGTAGGCTAGGGAAATTTTCCAGAAATCTGTTGCTAAGAAATTGAGATGGAACTTGAAGAACTAGGACTAGTCATGAAGTGCAACTCTGGTTACCAAACACCAAACTCTAGAGTTCGCCAAGTCTAAATAATCGATAGAATTATCTACTAAATTTTAAAGGTACTTGTATCGTCAGAGGCTCTGTACATCCAGAAAGCAAAAGGTCTATGATGTCTCAGCCTCTAAGACAATCAACCACTAAGCTGATAAATCTACACCAAAAAGATACGAGCTTTGAGAGGGTAGAAACTGAGGTAGCCATATAGACTCCACAAGCAAGTCAGGACTCTACCAAGTCTCCAATTGCCAGCATTCGTGTTGAGAAGACAGGATGTGTTATGGGGTGACCGCTGTGTTTTACTTTCCTTTTCCAAATGGATGTTTTCTGTTGGGTTTCCCTGTTACTTTCCCCCCACTGCCTAGTGAGTAGGGGCTGAACTTGCAGTTCCTAGATTTGAGGATGGGCGTTAATAACTGGGCTCTCTTTTGGGGAAAGGCCAATAATTTTGACATATAATGGAGCAGCACTACTTTAAAAAAAATGTTTTTAATATGTTATTTATTGATTTTAGAGACAGAGGAAGGGGGAGGAGAGAAAGAGCAAGAGCAAGAGAGAAACACTGATTTGTTGTTCCACTTATACATGCCCTCATTGGTTGATTCTTGTATGTGTCCTGACCGGGGTCAGACCTGCAACCCTGATGCACCAGGAGGACACTCTAACCAAATGAACTGCCTGGCCAGGGCTTGGAGCAGCATTGCTTTAATTTAGCAAATTCAAGCACATGAGTGGTAAGACAAACAAAAACAAACAAAAAACTGGATGGGAGGATTGAAACAGTGCAGGTGGTCTTTGCCTACACCCCTGTGCCCTGGGCTGGGCACCAGAGCAGACGAAAATCGCTTCTCTTCAATTTTTGGTTGCTCTTAGGGAGGACACCGTGCTGAACTGAGTCATTCTGTTTACAAACAGATTTTCACATTACATGGCTCCTAAGCAGGAGTCAAGGCTGGACAGATGAGATTCTATGCAGATCACCCACATGGAACCTCAGCTCCAACTAAGATCACATTCCTCATATGAAAGTAGCAGGATTAATGGTCAGGCAGCCAACCAGTGGACTGTGGGAAACACCATAGTTTCCACCTGCCTGACATTTTTGCCCCCATTTTTTCTGCTGAGGAAGGAACTTAGTTAAGGTGGTTTCTATATAACCAAGCCTGAAGCCAAAAGGTCTGGTATGGCTCAACATCTAAAGCTGACCCTTCCCATCAAGGTTACCAAGCGGAGGGAGTACTGCAGTCTGTGCCTACCAATCAGCGCATTCCACTCTTTTAACTAAGATGACTGATTGAGGGATGAGCCCCATTAAAAAAGGGGGATGAATTAGTCAACCCTGGGATTTTTGTTGAAATGTACTGGGTCCTTTTTACTGGGAGTTATTAGGCAGTAGGGTGTAATCCTGGAGTACCTGGGAGCTGACCCAACATAGAAGAAAATAGTTAAGAGCTGGAGAAAGGCTGAGTCCCAATACCTTCAAGGGAGGTGTTAGATACAGCCTTGCCTAAAGGCAGTCCTACCCTAGACTTTCACTTGTGTGAGCCAACAAACTCCCTTTTGTGTTAGAAGACAACTGAGTTAGATTATTACCACTGGCAACCAGGAGCCCTGATAGATAGGACCCTTTAGTATTAACTATAACACAATGAACATTTGAGTGCTCACCATATATTATGAACCATGTTAATTGCTTTCCAAATAATTGTTATCTCATTTTCATACCTCACAAAGTAGTTATAATCTCTGATGTTACAGGAGAAAACGAAGGTTTAGAGTGCTTAAATAACTTTTCCAAGACCACGCAGCCGGTAAGTATGCCTACACCAAAGTCCACGCTTATAACCTCTTTATATAAAGAGTTTATTATATTGATACCATCTTACTTTATGGTTCCATGTAGACTTTTATTTTCATAATTAAAAAATAAACCTTTCCTTTAAATAAGTGGACATGGTAACTCAAACAGCACAAATAGACAGACATAGAAAATGTTTTTCTCCTAATCTTGAGCCCTAATTCCCTTCCTTAAAGGCAAGCACTATTAAGTTATTTTGATATGCTTTTAGATAGTCTATGTAAACACACATACCACACCTTTAAAAATTTTACACAAATGGTAGCAAACCACATACTATTCTTATAACACACTTCAGAGTTTGGGTCCTAAAGCAGTATACTTAGAATGACCTTATTTTTCATAGCTGCATAATGCTGTATTACTGTATCATGATTTACTTATTTAATGAGAAACATACTCGCCTGGGGTGTCTGTAGGTTCCTGGGGGGTGGGCTCTGGGCAGCCACTCCACCCACACCCACTCAAGACTGTCTGCCTAGATCCCAAACAGCAAGGACGCAAGAGCATGAGCTTCTGGAACCCAGGAACCTTAAGCAGTAGGTCAGCAAGAGGTATTCTCACTATAAACAACTCTCTTGAAACACCACTTGGAGACCTTCATAACGTTATCACTGGACCAA